GGGCAGGACAGGCACGGCCAGTCGGTGCAGGCAACGACTCACTCACGGGGACAGTGTCAAGGTGGGAGGCTGCCAGGTGGAGCTCGGTGCAAATTCTGGTTTGGCCACTTGTCAGCTGTGTGACATGGGGCAAGTGGCCTAACCTCTGACCTCTGTTTCCCTGGCTGCAGAGTGAGCAGTGAGCTGTTGGGGGATACAACAGAGCCTGGGTGGAGATGCCTGCTCAGGAGGAGATCCCCCTCCTGGCCCCCCTGTCCTGCCCTATAATCACTCCTCAGGAGGATTACTGAGCTGGAGATCAGTCTTCCAGGGGCACTCACATCCTGAGGGTGCCTTTCTTAAGCCCAAAAGAGGGTCTCTACTTGAGTGATGTCAGGACAGTGATGCCCTGGGTTGGGTAGGTTTGGAGACAGGAGGGTGTTTCCTCCAGGCCCTGGGCTCATGGGGTTCACTCATACTCAGAGAAGGGGGACCCTGCCTAAAAATGCTCCTCCCGCACATCCCACATGCCACTGGGGCTGTCAGAGCCAGCAAGGGGATGGCCCGCCACACGGGCTCTGTGAGAACAAGCTCTCAGAGGGCAGGGCCCTGTGTTGTGGGGCAGGCAGTGTGGGACTTAGGGTACAGGCTGGCGGGCCGGGTGTGGTGGGGAGCCATTTACCTCCTTGGCAGCTTGGCCTGGGCTCAGCCCTCTGGCATCTGTCTTCACGACTTAATTAAATCCATGTAAAGGCAGCATTTATCAAGTGCCAACCATGTGCCAGGCCCCAAACGGGTGCTTTCACTGGGCGTGTCTCACTCTCTGGAGAACTAGCTGGGCAGGTATCAGCCTCTCTATTTTACAAATAAGCCCAGAGAGGGCATGGTACTTGCCAAAGATCACACAGCTACGGAGTGGTAGAAGAAGAGAGAAGACAAATGGAAGCCCTGGGCCCTCAGGCTCCTAAGTCCCTCTCCCCACAATTAATCACCAAACCCTAGAGAGACAAAGTGTTGTGGGGGTTCAAGAAGGGAGAGGGCACACTTGGAAAGATTCCTAGAGGGGTGGCATCTGATTGCAGCTTCGGAGGTCAATAGATTTTTGTGGCCCAGGTGCCCAAGTCTCTTGGAGTGTTGCCATTCATCTGGAAGACTGGGGTCCCTGCTTCCTGGTCCCCTCATATCTAATCTCTGGCTCTCCCCCCTCCCCAGGCAGGCAGAGATCTGGCAGCTGTGGGGGAAGCTGAGGCAGGAGGAGCCCCAGCTGGCAGGCAACCTGGAGGGCTTCCTGGCCCAGATGACCAGCCGCCTGCAGGAGGCACGGGCTGACAAGGAGGCTCTGGAGCTGACCCTGAGGAAGTGAGTGGGGCGGGTGGCTCTCACCCACTAGGTGTCTGGCACGTAGTGGGAGCTCTTTACATGTTAGTTGAAGACCGGAGGCCAAGGATTCACAGCAGGACCTGGAAGCTGGAATGAGCAGAGCTGAGCTGGAGGAAGGGGCGACTTAGGGGACTTCAGGAAGGACAGAGCTGGGCCTTTGTTGAGACTGGGAATGCCAAGTATGTCTTGGTGCGGGGCCACTGTGGCACCAACTCCAAGAGTACCGTTCATGTAGATGACAATGCATATGGTGACCCTGGAGTTGGGATGGGCACAGCCCTGCAGGGGGTCTGAGTTATGGAGGTGGGGTGGTGGTGGCAGAGGGAAGTGGGGACGGAGTGTGCAGCAATGGGGAGCGTGTGACAGGGCCAGGGGAACCAATATCTTGGCGATGGTTACAGGAGTCAGAGTGATGGGATCAGTGTGACCAATGTCAATGGTACGTGGGTCAGGGGCTGTCACTGGGATAACTGTTCCCTGGGTGACAGGGTCAGTGACCCCTGACCCAGTGAGGTGGGCAGTACCATGGACTCCAAGCCAGGTCCAGACCACCTGTGCCAGCAGCAGGGCCCCAGGGTGCTGATGGGCTACCCGGCCCTCCTCCACCCCTTCCAGGCGGGACTCCGACCACCACCAGGAGGTCCAGCAGTTGTACGAGGAGATGGAACAGCAGATTGGCCGGCAGAAGCAGCAGCTGCAGGCCAAGGTGGGTTCTGCAGCTCTCCCCCTGCCCTGGACTCCTCTGCCGGCCCAGCCCTGGGGGTGGCAGGAGGTTACAGAGAGTGGATCCTCTCACACCCCTGACCAGGGAGATGGGGTGAAGAGTGCCAAGCCCCCTACCCCTCTCTGCCGGGTCTCGCTGTGTCCCCTGGAGCCAGTCATTCTGCTCTCTGGGCCTCGGTTTCCCTGTTGCCACAATGCAGGCGTGAGCCAGGGAAGTCATCCTGAGACCCCTCTTGCTGGGACCCTGCACCCCAGGCCTGGGTGGAGGTGAGTGTGGGGAGGGCTGGCCCAGCCTGGCTGGGTCTTGGATTGGGCAGCACAGGGGCTGAGACCTCTCTGCTCCCCAGAGTGAGTCCCGGGACCTGGCCCTCAGCGCCCAGATGCAGGAGGTCCTGGAGGCCAAGGAGCGTGAGGTGCAGCAGCTGACGGAGGGCCAGAGGGAGGTGAGTGACAGGCGGCCCTGAAGCCCGGTTTCTGAGGACTCACGGACACTGACACCCCTGCCCTGAGGATGCACTGGGCTGGTTGGGCTCCCATATGAGAGGGGGCCCGTGGGAAAGAGGTGTCTTGGGCCCTTTTCCGAGGTGAGGCCAGGCACAGCAGCAGAGAGCCAGAGGGTCTAGGTTCAAATCTCTGTGGTTCCAATGGATAGCCATGCAAATCTGAGGAAATAGCTTTGCTTGTCTTGTCCTTAGTTTCTCTACCTGTAAAATGGGACTAGCCATCTACTGCATCTCCCAGCTGGTTGTGTGACAGGAGGTAATAAATGGAAAGGAGAGGAAAGCTCTGGGCAGACACGAGGCCTCACTGCTGGGGAGGCCTGGTGGTAGGTATTGCCTAGCTCTCATCTCCGCTGGCAGCTGAGTGACCTTGGCCGGTTTCTAACCTCTCTGAGCCTTGGTTTCCGCATCAGAGAAGTAGGATTCAGAACTCTTGCCTTAGAAACCGCTGTGAGGNCGGTTTCTAACCTCTCTGAGCCTTGGTTTCCGCATCAGAGAAGTAGGATTCAGAACGCTTGCCTTAGAAACCGCTGTGAGGACTAGAGCGGCTATAGTGAGGGCCTAGGACGGTGCCCAGTGCTTTACAGGTCATGGTTCCTGTCTCTGAATCTAACTTGGCTTCCCCGTCAGAGTACCTGCAGTCCTGATGCCCAGGCCCAGTAGCCGACGGTCACTTGCAGTGGGCATGGTGGCTGAGCCTTTGGGTCTGAGATCCTGCCCCACTGACTCTTCCTTCAACTTCCAAACCAGGGACCTCACTAAATCACACCTGTGGTAACAGGACACCAGCATCCCTTCAGCACTGCATGGGTTCCCAGAGCCCAACCCCCCTAGCCTTGGCTGTCCCTGTCACCTGGTGTCCCAGATGCCCCTGAAGCAGCTGCTCCTTGGAAATGGAGGCAGGCCCCTCCTGCCGAGAGAGGAGGTCAGACTTCCACTCGGGGCCATCTTGTCCTGTCCCCCCGTGGGCCTGAAGCTCTCCACCAGGCCCCTCGTTCCTTCACCCAACAGCTAGTTAGGACGCACCCACTGTGTACCAGGCACAGTTCTAGGTTCCGAGGAACATGACAGACATAAGCCCCTGCCCACGGAGTGACTGTCTAGTCAGGGAGACAGATGATGAAATAAGCGAGTAAAATCTGTAACATTAGATAACAGGAGGGCTAAGTTTTGATAGATGACATTGGAGTAAAGACCTGGGGGAGGAAAAGGGTGGGCCGTGTGAATCTGGGGGAAGAGCTGTCCAAGCAGAGGGACTGTGAGTGCAAAGGCCCTGAGGTAGGCATGTGCTGTGAGTGTTCAAGGAGCAGCAAGGAGACCTGTGGGCTGGAACAGAGGGAGGGGGGAGCAGTAGTGGGAGAGGAAGTCAGAGATGGAATGGATGGGGTGGGGAGTCTGTGCAGGCCCTGGCGGCCATTGGGAGGGCTTTGCATCCCACTCTGCATGGACACTCAGCTCCCATCTCCAAGTCGTGTGACTTGCTGATAGACCAGGAGCCCCCTGCAGACCAGACAGGGCTCAGGAGCACAGCCATCGTGGAGCTTTGAGCAGAGGAGGGCGTGACCCCACTCACATGTCGGGCCCTCGTGGTGCTGGTAGCTTGTGTTTCTTACATAGTTCCCTGTCCCCTCCCTACCCCAACAATTCAAATGTCCCTCCTGGGTGGGAGGTCATGGAGCCAATGCGTGGCCGCCCCTCCAGTCCTGTTTAAGCTGGGTCTTAGGGACCTGGAGCCTGTGCCCCACAGTGGCCTTGGGAGGCTGTCTGTTGCCCTGGGAGTCAGCTGGGCTTCTCTTGCCTCACCACCCACCTGCAGCTGGAGGCCCAGCTCTACCGCCTGAGCAGCACACGCCAGGAGGCCAACTCAGAGAACCGGCAGCTTCTGGAGGCTCAGCATGACCTGGCTGGGCGGCTGGAGGAAGTGCGGGAGCAGCTGCAGGTGACCAAGGGACAACTGAACGTCGCCAGGGGCCGTGTTTCCTGGCAGATGGAAGAGAAACTGAGGCAAGTGGCTGCCACCCTGGGCTGGGGTAGAGACCAAGGGCTTCCTGGGAGAGGGGAGGGAGGCTCGGAGTCCTCTGAGGCTCTGGTCAGCACCCAGAACACACAGCCACCCTCCATAAACCTCACAACAACATCGCCAGGCTGAGAATGTCATGCCCATTTCTCAGACAAGGAAACTGAGGAAACAGAGAAGGGAAAGTCATGTGCACAAGATCACGCAACTGGGATTCGGACAGACAGATAGACAGACAGACAGACAGACAGACACACACACACACACACACACACACACACACGAGTCTTGTGCAGGGCTAGATCCCAGGCAGACACAATATTTGTTTCAGCTCAAAGGAGTGAGATGGGCCCAAATTATCAGGGAAGGCTTCCTGGAGGAGGTAAGGCTTCATACAGGCCTTGAAGGATAAGCAGGATTGCATGACCGGGAGGAGTGGGGAGTGCATACCAGGTGAGGACTACCTGAGCAAAGACTGGGCGGGAGGGCCAGCTATGAGGTGTGCAACTCATGGTGAGGTATGTAGGCATGACTGATGTGACATCTGTCCCTACCCTGACCTGAGCTTCCCACACCCTTTCTAGTGTCCCCAGAGCAGATGAGGAGAAGGCTCCTGACCCTCAGGTGGTCTCCCCTGAGGAGGTTCCCCTGCCTGGACTGTTTGGGGACAACGATGACTGGGACAAGCTCCTGAGCAGCTTCAACAGCCCCCCACACAGAGCCCTGCAGCTGTCCTGGAGCCCACCCCCGACCCCGAGATCCCCCTCAGTTCCCCAGACACCCCGAGTGGTCAGGCAGATCTCCATCTCAGAGTCGCACAATTTGCTGTTTGGTCAGGAGCCATCTTCAGATCCTGATGGGGCTCCAAGGAGCCCCCCTGGGGTGCCTGCCAAGGCCAAGGAAGGGGAAGGAGTGGACCCAGATGGGCAGGACCACAGTCCAGAGCGGCCTGTTGAGCCTCGCAGCGTGCACCCTAAGGAAGAGTTGGGGCCTGGCCCTGAGACCCACTTCCTCTGGACTCTCCCGGGGGCCCCAGCTGGGGAGTCAGGGAGCCTGGTGGCAGCTGCACTCTCAGTGATGGTTCCTTTGGAAGACAGACCCCCTCCCCAGGTGGCCTCTCCCTCTTCCCAGGGCCCAGCCGGGCCCAGCAAACAGTTCCAGGCCTCATACCGAGGTGATCAGGACTCCTGGATAGGGCCTGTCCCATCTAAGCCACCCAGGCAGAGAGAAGCCCTCCAACAGGAACCCCACGCTGCTGGCTCTGAGCCAGGACTGGGGTCCCTAAGGGCCAGAGTCCTCCCAGCAGGGCTGGCTGAGCCCTCCCAGGGTCTGGAGCGTGTGGCTCAGGCTCCCACAGAGGGATCGGAGCAGGGCGAGCTGGGCCCAGATGTGCAGGAGGGCCGTCCTGGGGGGCTAAGGGAAGCTCATGGCCGGGTCCAGCCAGATGTGCAGCCTGCCCTCCCCCAGCAGAGTCTGGAAGAGGAGCCCAGGGCTGAGGAGAGGAAACAGGTGGGCCAAGGAGGGCCAGGCCTCAGTTCAGACCAGCCACCTGAGGCTCAGGGCCTGAGAATTGGGCCCTCAGGACTCCCCCAGCGAGGTTCCCTGACTGCTCCTCTCCCACCTGACACACCGCAGGCTCAGGCTGAGGCAGAAGCCCCTGTTCCTGGAAAACCATCACCTCCAAGGGGCTCTCCCCTTCGGGGGGCTCAGCTTGGGGGTGGAGCAGGGCCCCAGCTGCCCACGGAAACCCTGCCCACCATGGCTGCCCTGGAAGCCCAGCCTGGGCCTCCACCCACAACTGCTCAAGCAGAGAGAGGACAAGGCCCCCTACTATCCGGGGAGCCAAGGGCAGAGAATAGGCCTAAAGACCCTGGAACAGGCTCCAGGGAGGCTGGGCTGACTCCATCCCCAGGGGACCCCAAGGACAGCAAGCCTCCAGCGGACCCTGATTACATCTACCATGTCATCTTCCTGGGAGACTCGAACGTGGGCAAAACATCCTTCCTACACCTGCTGCACCAGAACACCTTTGCCGCCGGGCTGACAGCCACTGTGGGTAAGGACCATCTGGGGAGGGAGAGGAGGCCCAGGGGCTGTGGCCAACAAGCTGGAGCAGGCCCTGAGTGGAGTGAGCCATCCCTGGGGAAGCTGCAGGTTCTGTCCTGGCCACAGGCCCTGCACTAGACAGTATTTTATATGGGTTACTCTTACTATCTTACTAATCACCTCTAATTACGGGTAATTTGCTTTTTCTGCCTTGATCTGATTAGCTTATAATGTGCCACATCAACAAAGCACCCTGCAATTTAGGTGCCAGTGCTGGTTGATGGGGAAAACAAGCCAGTCCCACCCACGTGGCCCGGGGGGCTGGCCAGTGCGTGGTGGCACTGGCTGGATGAGGTCATGACTAGCCCCCCCCTCGGGCCAGCCAGCCGAGCTCTGGCGGGGAAGTAGCCTTGGGCAAGTTGAATGTTTTACACAGAATGTATTTGTAGGGTGTGGTAAGTTAGGAACCTGGGCGCCTAAGTTCAAATCTTGTTCTGCCACTTACTAGCCATGTGAACTTGGACAAGTTCTTTAACCCCTCTGAGCCCCCCAAATCCTCATCTGCATAATGGGAACAGCGGGAGTGCTGACTTTCTGGAGGGCTTGAGGATTAGTTTGGTTAGCACTCATCCAGCTCTTAGGATAATATCTGGCACGTGGTGCTAATCAATATTAGTTATGTTTATTATTATTATAATAAGCATTTGATAATATCTAATTCAGTGGCTCCTGCCAATGAAATGTACCAAAGCACAAAGCTTCTTCTCCCTAAAAATGTTGGGATCAGTGACCACTTGAATGTTATATGGACCACAGAAAGCAAGCTTTTTAAACCACAAAGATGGAGTGAGCCCCATCTTGGTGTCAGTCGGGGTGCACGTCACTGGGGACCATCGCTGGACCAGTGGATAAATGACAGCCCACAGGCAAAAGAGGCCCCAGGACAACTTCTCAAACTTTTCTCTGCTTAAGAATCCTCACCTGGGAGCTAGTTAAAAATGCAGTGTCCTTAGGAATGGGGACCCACAACAGGCCTGGCCTGAGGTTGAGCAGGGTCGCAGGCCCCGCGGGGCCACTATTAGTAATCGCCTGAGCTGCTGGTTACCACCAGCTAAAATGCACCAGGCGTCTTACAATAGCCTCCCCTTCATTATCACGTAGTAAGAGGTTTCCAGAAAATTCAACCAAGAAAAACACAGATTGCGTAATTGTAAAAACACGAGGCCAGCCTACACCCACTGCTGGGGGCACCTGAGATCCAGGTGGTGTGATCCAAACCTGTCCCAGTCCCAGCTGCGGTTTCGTGCCCCCTGGTGACTGTCATCTGTCTATCTTAATTATCGCTGGGGACGATTCTGGTTTCCTCAGTCATGAACAGTTCCCCACTCAGTGTCACCCTCCTTCCCTCCCCCTCCCCAGGGTATAAGAACGGTGGCCCGCCTGCACCTGGGGACAGGGCCAGTGGAGGACCAGAGCCCGTTGACTTCTATCTGAATGTGCACTTTGGCCTGGCGTTTCCATATCTATCCCCATTTTTCAGATGAGGGAAACAGGATTAAAGACCTGCTTCAGCTTCTTGC